TCGCTCTCGCCTGGTTCTCCATCTCGCCGTCTCGCCACCTTGCTCTCGGTCACCCGCTTCTCCTTCTCGCCGCCTCGCTCGCCTCGCTCTCGCCTGGTTCTTCATCTCGCCGCCTCGCTCGCCTGGTCACTCTTGCCCGCTCGCCCGGTCCTCTTTGGCCGCCGCCTTTCTCGCTCACCTTTGATCCTGCTCCCGTTCACGCCGCCGCCACTCGCTTCCGTTTTCCATGTACACCCCTGCTCCGGTACCTGGTCACACATGTCATGCGGGCGTGATGCACACCGTCACGGGGTGATGATGGAATTGAGAGTCGTTTGCGATATGCGGCACGTGGGTCATGCGCGCGACACGTCATCAAATCGCGAGGCATGCCGTGCGCGATGGGGGGGGGGGGGGGGAGCCGCTTCCAAGTCATTCTGTCACGTGCGCGTACGCGTATATCATGCATGTACGTACCGCGTCACTCTTCCCTCTATACATCCATCATCATCGTGACCCGAGCGTGAGACATTCATCCGCGTGCGTGCCGCGCGCCACGCAAGAAAGAAAGATGTGGTTCCATTGAGATGACGGTGTGAGCTCTAATGTGGTTTCTGAACACGACCGAGCGATGCACGCACGCACACGAGCGACTCGCCACTCCTCGCTGCACGCACGCACGCACGCACACACGAGCGACTCGCCACTCCTTGCTGCACGCACGCACACACGAGCGACTCGCCACTCCTCGCTACCCGCCCCGCCTACCTGACAGCGATGCCAATGTACAAGTCGCTAGAAAATCCAATCTCGAGGTAGAATCGCTCAATGTCCTCGGCTCTTTGATCAAAGATGGCCTCGCTTGTTACGCCGGCGACGGGCGCCTTGTCTGCAAAAAAGAGAATCGGTCCCTTGAGAGCCTTGAATGCAAAGGTGGTGTTTGCGACGGATTTGAGCATGACTTCTTTGCTCAAGCCCATCTCTTGCGCAACGCGACCCCACGGCCAAGACGAGGTTTGCACGTGGACGCTCGAAAAGCCTGCGGTGCGGAGATGCGCTTGCATGTCCCTACAAATGCCAGGAGGATCCTTGTTGGCACGCGACCACAGCCCGTCGAACATGTCCTTGATAAAGTGCTCCGTCTCGTTGCGCGGTGCGGCTGGTCGCGGGTCCAGCTCGACGACTTGAAGCGTGCCACCGGGTTTCAAGAGCGCATAGAGATTTCGAATAGCAGTGGCGTACTGCTCCGAGTTCATCGCCATGAGGACGTAGCGCATCTGGACCAAGTCGTACTTGCCGTGCTGCTCTTGTGGAAACGGCTGAAGCACATCGTGCACGCTGAAATCGATGGGCGTACCCTTGGCCGTCACCTTGTCCAGCACAATGTCGCTTCCTTCCAGCTGCACGTTTGCTGGCAGTCGCTTGCCACCTTGACCGTCTCTGGCCAATCTCTCTAGCCACACGCCTGTGCCCGTGGCCGTGTCGAGCACACGATGAGCTCGACTGACATCGTACTCGGCCGAGTGGACATATTCGCGTCCGGGGAATAGGGCGTTGAAGAGCTCCTGCTGAAAGTTTAGACTGGCGGGCGGGCAGCGAGCAGGGCGGGCGTGCAGCGAGCAGGGCGAGCGCGCAAGCGGAGCGAGAGGTCAGCGCGCGAGCAGAGCGAGCAATCGAACGCACGAGCGGCGCTGAGGAAGCATTCGTGATTGCGGAGCATTTGAGTCTGCTGTTCGGCTTCGCGCCAAGCGGAGCGCTGAGGAAGCATTCGTGATTGCGGAGCATTCAACTCTCCTGTTCGGCTTTTCGCTCGGCTTCGCGCGAAGCGTACGCCTTGGTCTGATATTGAGGTCTCCAGACGGCTCCTACCATGACAAACGTACGTTGAGGATGATTCTCATCCATCACCCGCATGCACACACGCCCGCACGCCCAGACTCACCGCTCCGATTCGCTGGTAGCGTGACCGAACAAGTAGGTCAATTGGTCCTCTCGAGAGGCAGACATTGCGGTCGGGTCGTGCGTTGCGAGGGGCGTCGAGAGGGGCGTGCTGACGGGACAAGGCGAGGTGATGGATGGGTGGATGGATGGGTGGATGGATGAATGACAGCGAGCGCCGGGTGGATGGGTGGGTGGATGAATGACAGCATCGCGGCGCTCGCCCATGCACAAGTCAAAATCATGATGGTGACCGCGTGGATGATGCAGACCTCCACGCGCGGTCACACCGGAACATCTTGCCGTGTGCGCGCGTTCACGCACCATCACAATCACAAACCGCATGCACGCGGCAGGCTTTCCTTCCGCATTTGAGCGAATCGATAGGCGCGCTGCTGCATGCATGCTGGCCTCGCGACGCGCGCTGCCTGATGCTCGCCCGACCATCGGGCAGCAACATGCACGCGGCGCAGCAAATTAGAAGTGCCTCGTCGCCTATCGTTGCTCACCGCGGCGTGCATGCATGCGGCAGCGGATGCGCCCACGATGAGACACGCCGCTGAGCACGGACGCGATTGTTGCGACTTGCTCTTCGCGCGCGCGGTGCAAGGCCGAGGCGCGCCCGCCGCTCACGTGAGATTTACACATTGTGATTGTTCCGATTCAAGATTGCTGATCTCACGCTGGGTTAGATTCACGATTGCCACGATCGGGCATCCGCGATTGCCTCGAGTCGAACCTCGCGCGGACCCGGATCCCACAGAGTGACTTTCTCATCGTCTGCTCTCCGCTGGCCTTGTTGCGATGAGTCGCGCCTGCCTCACGTTGGCGGCCAGCGCCAAGGTGTGCATGGTACGTGATCCCATCGACAGCGCGCCTCTGCGGGTCCAGCGCAGTCAGCTTATGGGACACCGCATTCACAAGGCTTCCCGGACGCGCGCGCAGTCTGTGAGTGACGAACCCGGATCGGTGCAGCATCTGGCCGGATCTGCACACCGCAAGTGAAGCTCGTTCGAGGTGCAGTCTCTGATTAGCCTCTCGCCATCTCTCTCCTATACATAATTGAGTGCACGGTCCCTTTCTCTGCATGAGGCATGAACGGTCAGAATAGCGCATGGGCACGCGAACGGTCAGAATAGCGCATGGGCCCCCTCTCTATGCAGGTACAAAAGTCTCTACCGCGGCATACCGAATCCCCTAGCTCAAATCAGCGGTGCGCACTGTGCTCTCATCAGCGACGGTGAGTGCCTGCGGCGAGTTGCGAGTGTCGACGTATCGCGTTGCTGACGATCTTGTGCGCGCGCGCGCGCGCGCTCAGCTGGACGTAAACGTGCCATCGCTTTTGGTCTCGAGACGCTCTACGACTGCATCGTATTTTCCTTGACGCTGTGGGCTCTTTTTGGCAAAAGAGTGCTCAGCACCTCTGCGACAAAGGGCTCGTCGGCATACAGGGCGCGCAAAAGTCTGCTCCGATCCAGTGCAGTGTATTTCGGTCTCAGTTTTTGTCTGGTGAGTGCGCGTGCGGGCGTGGCCAAAGGCGGCCGACTGACCTCCTACGCCCCCAAATACAGAACCTCGGATGCATGATGGCCCAGTTGGTTGCGGCAGACGACGTCGTCAAGAGCGTGAGTAGGCCGCGCGCGCATGGATGTCGTTTGGCGCCGCTGACGTTCCCGCGCCGATGTTCCCGCGCCAACGTTCTGCACCCAGTCGATTCCCGTACCCATCTACTTTGCACTGAGCGTCATCTTTGCGGTTCGCCTGGTGTACAACTCGATCGAAGAGCGACTTGGCGAAAGCAAAGACATGTTCAGCGCCGCGGAGAGGAGCTCTAAATGCGATGCGTGTGGCGGCGGGAGACGTGCTGCTCGCATTGCCGTACCACGCGGTCAGGACATCCCACACGCAGCATCGGGAACTGAGCACATTCTGGAATTGCACGAATCGACAACGAGAGCAGAGCACAAGCCACGGTCGCTGAGCAACCCAGCTCAGCCAGACAATGGCAGCTTCGACACCGGCAGCCAACACGTCCATGGCTTTGTTCCGCCAAACGATTGGCACGTATCGAAAGATGAGCCGCGCACGCGGGAGTACATCCTGACACCCACGCCCGCCCACGTCGTGCCCCAATGAGACATAGAGTCCCGGCTGTCCAGAGCTCCGCTTTCCCTCCTTGTACATCCCATCAGCGCTGCTCGCGTCGATGGAGTGCTCGCTCGCGCGTCCAGTGCGCCCGTGCATGCACCTGCGCTCACGACTTGCGCACTGCCACGACACACGTGAAAATCGAATCACATGACTCGAACCCCGAATTCGTGATTGAAAGCGTGATTGAAAGATTCAAGTCGTGAGTCGCGAGTCGCGAGTCACGAGTCACGAGCGTGAATTGTGAATGTCTTGCACGGGAGCGTGCACGCGCTGCTCGTCATCGTCACACCGCACGCATGATGACCCGCCGGCATCAACTCATCTTGGGCGCAACATTTACGCGCCGACGCCGCAACTCCGTCGCACACGCGCGCGAAATGCCGGCGGTGCATGCATTTCCGGCGCTTATAATTCCAGCATTCATTCTCACACCGTCACGACGGATGCTTGAGCGAAGATCATGCGTCGTTGCTGGCATGACGGCACCGGCGATTTCGCCCCCACCCCGCGAGAGGGAGTCGGGAGTGACTCTTTGAGGCGTGCCTGCGCGCACGGGTTGTGCGTTGCAGTGCGCGCGCGCAGGCTGTCGTAGCCGCCAAGACGCCGATGCAGCGTGTCAACGAGGTCAGCGCGCGCGCGCGTCACCGAGCCATCGCGCGATGGCACCCAACAAAAGTACATAAAGCCGGGTTGGCGCGCGAACCAAATGTTGTTCTACATCCCGCCGCTACATCCCGCCGCCACATCCCGCCGCTACATCCTACCGCTACATCCCGCCGCTACACCCCGCCGCTACGCTCGCAATGAAGTCCTCTTTCACAGCCGCCGCCGCCGCCGCCACCGCCGCCGCCCTCATCTCGGCCCCTCTCGCCTTTGCGGCTCCCACAGCGCCTCCAAGCTACGACAACAAGGTCGTCTGCAATGAGCGTCTCTCTGGCGGTGGTCTTCTTCACGCCCTAGGCGCCACTGTTGACAAGCCGCTGTCCACCGCTGGCGACTCTTTGCTCCTCAAAGTGAACCCTGTTGCGCAAAACTTTACTCACTACGAGTGCTCAGCGCCCGGCTTTACGGGTCCCGTCAATTCATTCTACGGTCTCGTCAAACCTGCAGGGGATGGTGTGAACGGCACCAAATGTTTGGGTGCCATCAGTGTCAGCGGCGACTCTCGCCTGCGACTTCAAGAGTGCCCTCGGCGGGCTGGCCCTTACCTCTCGCAGTTCTGGTTCGAACGCGGGGATGACAATTTGCAACTCGTCGGCAAGCCTGACAAGGAGGGCAAGGTGGACGCCAAGGTTGCCAGGAGAAGCATCGCCTTTCAGGGCGACATTGCCATCGCCACAAACAAGGACTACGCCAAGCTTCCCCAACTCGTCCTTTACGACGACTAGCGCCGTTCGAGCGCGAGCGCACCTAGCGAGCAAGAAGCGCCGATCGAGCGCACCTAGCGAGCAAGAAGCGCCGTCCTCACAGACCGCCGAGACGATGTATTGTCGCAACCATCTCGTGTAATCGCATGTCGACCATTGTAATCGCATCGCATTTCGCTCGCGTCGATTGTAATCGCATCGCGCGTCTTGCATCTCTGACGATAGTTGTACACCCGCTCGCCCACTCACCCGCCCTCGTTAGTGCGCCTCCCAAACGCGAGCTTGAAGCGCGATCCCTGCGTACCGTTGTTCGAGGCCGATGATGACGCTACAGTGGACACCGGCTTCGCCTTGACGGGCGCAAAAGCCGGCTTCGTCTGAGCAGCCCGAGGTACCATCGACGTCGTGCCAGAGAGATCAGGCGCGGGTAACGGCGTCGCAGACGCGGACCGGCCATCGCGCTCCGCTCCGAGGGGAGTGGGAGCATTGCGCTTTCCACCACTCTTGCCCGCGCCCGCACCCGCACCTGCGCTCGCGCCCGCGCCCGCACCCGCCTTGGCAATGTTTGGTCCGAGCAGTTCCAACTCTTGAGGCGCATTGTTGCGCGATCCAACACCAATCACCATGTGAGCCTGACCAGCACGCTCTGCTCTGGCAGCAAAGGCTCCGCTCATACCGGTGGGCGTATCCCCAGCAGTCATTTTTTCCCTCTTTCGCTCCTCTTCGATGCGCTTCAAATTCAGCTCTTGACGCTTCTTGCCTGGCATCTTGCCGTGAAAGGTGTGGGAGAGATTTTTCCACGCTTCCCTTGTGCCCAGCACCCGTCCGTGCTCGTCGTGGTACTCAATCTTAATGTCTGGCTTGTAATCTTTAAACTTGTCTTGAGCCTGTCGAGCATCATCGAGCTCCCGCATGCGATTCTCGTACTCTCGCGTCGCTTGGTCCTTTGCCGCTCCCTGCGCTTTGCTCATCTCTCGCTCCGCCTGGCGCACACGATCTTCGGCGCGCCTCTTGGCCATCCAAGCATCGTACTCTTTTTGCGCTTGCTCGCGTTGAATCTCTTCAGCAGAGCGAGCTTGCAGCATGCCCTGGTTTCGAAGCATTGCCAGCGTGGCTGCCATGCCGCTGGATACGTACTGCTCGGGCGCGCCAAATTCGGGCGCATCGTCGAGTCCGCCTTTTTGTGGCATGGGCAAATCGTCCAAGTGAGACATGTCGACGTCCTCGCCGTCCTCGACGTCAGGCGTGGGCGCTAGAGTGGTCGAGGGCGCTAGAGTGGTCGGATGGGGGCTGACCACGGGCAAAGCAGCGTTCGCCGCGTTCGGCGCGCTCGCCGCGCTCGCGGCGCCACGTCGCCTGGCAGCTGGTCGAGGTGAGGCAGGTCTTTGTTGAATGTTGCGCACAAACTCGGACGTGTCGTCAAACGTCAGGCCGTCTGTCGCTTCTGCTTTCGCCGGGTTTGCATTGTCGGCTGGACTGCTGCCGTTGCCATTGTCGGTAGCATCGGCTGCTTCCTGGGCGGCGACTGCAAGAATGAGGGGCACATTAGTCGCGCCGCGTCGCATCGCTCGCACGCCGCTCGACTCACGATTCCTTGCAATCTCTTCCGGCGTCATCTTGGTCATCGTTCGTTTGGCCTTGTTACGACGTGCCTTGGCCAAGCTAGCGGCGAGCTCATCATCGTCTACAAAATTCTCAGTGGAGATTTCGCGAGGCTTGAAATGGGAGGTGCTCGCATCGGCGACGTCCATCGCAGCAGCGCTCGCGTCGCCGCCCTCGCCCTCACCGTCTTCCAGCTTCGCCGCGCCCGCTTCGCCCTCGCCCCCCTCACCGTCTTCCAGCTTTACCCTCGCAGTGCGCCGCTTTTTTCTGCTCTTTGGCCGTTTGAAGCCAGCATCGCCTTCTTGGAGATAATCCGAAACTTCTTGATTCTTGTCGTAATTCAAGTCGAGCATCGTGCGATTGAGCAGCCGAGCAGCTTCCCTCTTGCGCTCCTCGTCTGCTTCCTGCTTGGATGCCTGCACCTCTTCTCCCAACCTGAAGCCGTCGCCGCCACCACCGCCACCGCCACCGCCACCGCGCTCGTCTGGACCCAGATCCGCATCGTACTTGGACAGGACGCCGCCCAAATCATCGTCATCGAGACCAGTATACCCCTTTGCGCCTTTTCTGCGCTGGGCATTCAGCCTGTCCAGCTCCTTTTGATGCGCCGCCACATCCATCAGCTCATCCTCTTGGCCGTCCAGCACATCTGCATCCCTCAACGTCAGCACCCTGCCATCCCCGCCCACACTCAGTCCCATCTCGTCCACATCGTGCGCTACTCGCAGTCCTGCCAGATCTGCAGAGGTGTAGGCTTCCAGTGCAGCAGCGTCCTGCTCTTCCAGCTCCTTGGCCCTACGAGCTGCAATCTCCTTGGCGCGCTTCCGAGACGCCTTGAGCCACTTGAGCGTCGTGCCGCTGCCATCGCCCTCGCCCTCGCCATCCTCGCCCTCGCCCGCGCCCTCGCCCAACGTAGGTCCCCGCAGCTTGCGAGCCAGTTCGCGACGATTGCGAGCCTTGGCTATGCGCTCCTTGACCTCATCTTGCTCTCGCTGCCTCTTCTGCTCTTGCTGTCGCTTTCTGTAATTCTCCTCTGCGCGCTCCTCTTGACCCTCCAACGCGCCGCCGCCGCCGCCGCCGCCACGCTCAGAGCCAGCATCATCGTCCGAATCCTCTGTCAGCGGTTTCAAGCCGAGCGAGATGCGAAGCTTATTGGTCTCCTCCAGCGAGAGCGAGTCCTTTGCAAACTCTGACATGCTGGAGGTGCGCGCGCTGTGGCGGTGGTGTGCGGGCGCCGCGGCGGTGCACAGTGTGGCGGCGGTTGCGATGAGCAGCAGCTGGGAGTGGGGGGCTCACGCGCGTATCGAGACGACGTTGGTGGTGGTGGTGGTGGTGGTGGTGGTGGTGGTGGTGGTGGTGGATGAGGAGCAAAGTGTGATGGCGGCGGCAGGGCGGCCGCGTGCGTGGAGGCCACGCGCGCGATTGATCATGAAATCACGCGCAGTCACGGAATGTCAAGCTCGCGGCAGCAGCTGAGCGCGCAGTCACGCACAGTCACGCACAGTCGCGCGCAGTCGCGCACAGTCACGCACAGTCACGCACAGTCGCGCGCAGTCGCGCCCCCCGCGCACATCTTCTCCTCCACCACCATCACCTCGCACGCGCGCTCTGCTCGCGCTCACCGCCGGCACACCTTCCTCCGCTGCGCACTTTTGACTCGCCATGCCCGCACGAGCCTTTGGTCACGAGGAGGACGAAGATGAAGGCGACTCGCGCAACCTGCACTCCTCACACGTCGTCGTCGCCTTCTCCTCTACGACCGGCGCAGAGCCAGCACGCAAACGGTCGCGCACAGGCGATGCTGCTCCAAAAGTCATTCCACTCACGGGCGATGGTGATTGGATGGCAGAGAGGAAGCGCAGGTTGAATCTGGGCAGACACGCTGCTCAGCTCGGAGGCCTGGTCAGCATGCAAAGGCGAGATGGCGACCGCGGCGGTGGCGGCAGCGCAAATCAGAGCCGCATCGGCGACGGCAGCACCCTCACTCCAGGTTTGACGAGGATGAGGGGCGTCGCGGGCGTCGCGGGTGTCGCGCCTGCAGCTCCAAGCTCACGCACGCACGCGGAAGAAGAAGCAGAGATTGCCGCTCTACAAGCTGCTGCCAGCGATACCACACCATCCGCATCCAAAGCCGGTGATGCGCCCACAGACGACGATGCGGAAGCTCGCGCAGCTCTGCTCGCGGGAGGCGACCAGCGTCGTCGAGGTCGCGACACTGAGCGGATCATCGAGATGGACGAGACTGCGCTCACGCAAGCCGACGCTGCCAATCGGCCCGATGCGCCTACGGTGGAAGAGTACGCCGCGCTGCCCATCTCCGAATTTGGCGCAGCGATGCTGAGAGGCATGGGCTGGAGGGAAGGGCAAGGTGCAGGCAGAAACAGGCAGGGTCCCACCACTTCCGAACAAGTCAAAAAGAGACCCGCACTGCTCGGTCTTGGTGCCAAAGAACGCAAAGATGTGGGCGGCACGGGCGGCACGGGCAGCACCTCGCGCGGCAAGGACGCGAAACGATCGTCTCGGCCCGACAGCAGGTACGTGCCCGTCGTCAAGAGGAGTGCAGAGGAGGGCTCACGGGAACGCATGGCAGACGTGTCGTTGGGAGAACGCAATGGCGCGCGACACGATAGTCGACCCAGCGAAGCTCGCTCGTCTCGCTCGTCTCGCCACCGAGACGAGTATGACCGCGAGAGACATTCGACACGGCGCCAAGGGGACAGCGAGAGACATTCGACACGGCGCCAAGGAGACCACGAGAGGTATGCACGCGATGACGACAGGCGGTACGGGTCAGACAGGCGAGATGCGGACTGGTCGTCAAGTCGGCAGGATCGGGACGGATACGCCCGCCGCGAGCGATAGTCATCTGCACACGCATCTATTCGCGCCCGGTTTACTTTGGTGCGTCAACTTTCTCCTCGCAATAGACACACGGCGCCGCACTGGTCTACTTTGGTGCGTCAACTTTCGCCTCGCGATAGGCATCTGCACACGTGGCGCCGCATCTATTCGCGCCCGGTCTACTTTGGTGCGTCAACTTTCTCCTCGCATTAGACACACGGCGCCGCACTGGTCTACTTTGGGGCCTCTTTTGAGCTTTCTCCTTCTCCCGCACCATGCCCCATGCCTGTGCAAGAGGTTCGGTCAGCGCGTTGCTGTTGCGCGCGTACGGGCGTTCGCCTCACCAACGGTGGATTGAGACTCCCAAAGATCGCCATAGAGGGACTTGGGTTGGGCGAGCAGCTCATCGTGCTTGCCTTGCTGCTCCACCACTCCATCCCTCAACACGATGATGAGGTCAGAGTCGGAAATGGTCCGCAGGCGGTGTGCGACTGCGAGCGAGCCAAATAAATGTCAGCGGCGACGTTTCTGGCGACGTTTCTCGGGGCGTCATTTCTCGCGGCGCCGCGCCACGCACCGAATATCGCCGTCCGATTGGTATTCAACAGCGTCGAATTCAAGTCGCGCATGAGCGAAGCTTCTGTAAAGGTGTCTAGCGCAGACGTCTGTCGAAGAGAGCCTCTCGGGTCAGCATGCCGCAAGCAACCCGCACGGCACGGCTGCTTACCACGCACCGCCTCGTCCAGAAAGAGAATGTCTGGATTCTTCAAGAATAGCCTAGCGATCGCTAATCTCTGCTTTTCGCCGCCACTGATCATCAAGCCGCGCTCTCCGACTTTGGTGTCGTATCCCTCGGGCAGCGTCTGAACGATGCGATCCACCTTGGCTCTCCTCATCGCTTCTGCAACTTGCTCGTCCGACGCTTCGAGATTGCCGTACCTGACATTGTCCATGATGTTTCCATTGAAAAGCGCCGTATCTTGCGGAACAACGCCGACTGCCTTTCTCAGGCTCTCCAGGCTGACTTCTCGAATGTCTTGGCCATCGATCAGGATACGTCCACTCTGAGGTTCGTAGAATCTAAAGAGGAGTCGAAATACGGTAGATTTGCCGCACCCGCTGGGTCCAACGATGGCTGTTCGCACTCCTGCAGGAATGGTAAAGGAGCAATTTTTGAAAATTGGCCTGGAAGGATGATATCCGAACGTCACGTTTTCGAAAACGATTTCGCCCTTGGACACTTTCAAGGGGGGCGCGTCGGCTTTATCCTGTCGATGCGGACGCGTCGCGTTAGGCAGGTCTGCCTGCAGCGTCCGTCCACGCGATCACTCACTTGCACGCTGACTTTTACGGCCTCGAGGTTGAACATGGCCTCCATATCGATCAGACTCTGCCTCAGCTCGCGGTAGACGGTGCCGAGAAAGTTGAGCGGAAGGCTGAGCTGAAAGACGAGCTGGTTGACGAGCACCAAATCGCCCACAGTCATGGTCCCTGCGTTCGCATCGCGTCGCGTCGGCATGAGCGATCGATCGTGCTGGCGCCTGCACACGAGAAAGCATCACCACACGCACCCTTTACAACACCTTGAGCTGCCAATAGCATCATGAGCGTGAGCGCCGAGCTAAAGATGAAGTTTTGGCCAGTGTTGAGTGCGGCCAACGAGGTGGCGACCTTGACGCTCGACTTTTCGTACTCCTTTAGCGCCTTGTCGTACTTTTGGATCTCGTGCGTCTCATTGTTAAAGTACTGCGGGTGCGGGTGCGGGCGCGGGCGCGGGCGCGGGTGCGCGGGGGCAGCTGTGAGATGCGAGATGCATGCGTTGCGAGATGCGAGATGCATTCGTTGCCCGCGTCGCTCACCTTGACGCTCTCGTAATTGAGCAGAGAATCTAGGCTGGTGCTGGCTCCCCTATTGTCAGCCTCGTTGGCTTCCTTTCTAAACTTTGTCCTCCAGCTCGTCGTCTTGATGGTAAAGGCAGCATACGCAGCCATGGTGAGGGCGGTGACTGCAGCAAAGCTGGGACCGCACTTGTAGCTGAGAATGCCGCACACCAGGCTGATCTCCAGCGCGGTTGGGACAATGTGAAAGACGAGGGAAGTGAGCAAAAAGGAGATTCCCTTTGTTCCCCTGTCTATGGCGCGGGTCAGTCCGCCGGTCTGTCTGGACAGGTGCCAAGATAGATCGAGGGACAGCAGTCTGGTAAAGACGGATCTCGCGACGCTTCGAATGGACCGCTGAGCCACGTTGGCAAACACTGCGTTCCGCAGCTCCGAGAATGCCGCAGAACCGATGCGGGCCAGTCCATCTGTGGGGGGGGGGGAGTGAGTGCGTGCGTGAGTGCGTGAGTGCGTGCGTGCGTGCGTGCGTGCGTGCGTGCTTGCGTGCTTGCGTATCCGACTCACAACCCAGAATGCTCGCTCCTGCCACGGCCCATACGGTGTGCGGGTTAGACATGTCCAGAGGCGTGCTAGACAGCTCCGACAGGCCATCGACGATGGATTTGAAAAAGAAGGGCACTTGCACATTGAGCAGCTGCGTGTGCGAGGTTCGAGGTGGGGGCATCCCGCGACGTCAGTAGCCGGCGCGCACTCGAGAGGGAGAGAGCGCATCGCATCGCGCACACCAATCCACCTTTCCCCCTGTTTGCCCCCGCCCCTCCACACTCACCTTTCCGCCGACGAGGAGCAAGAGTGCGAGCACGACTCTGCTCTTCGTGCCAAAGTCTCCAGCGGGCCAGATATGCCCAATGAGCTTCCTGATGATGCCCAGATCCTTTGCCCGCTGTTCCTTGACGCTCAGAGTCGCGTGAGCCGTCACGTCCGCAGTCGCAGTCGCAGTCGCAGTCGCAGGCGCGGCTTTTCCAGCTTGTTGTGCGCTCGCACTCGTGCTCCCAGCCGCTGCTCCAGCCGCTGCTGCAGCCCCTGCTCCAGCTTTGGCTTCCACACCAGGTGCGGGCGCAGCACCGCCCTGTCGCTTGCTCTCGCCACTCGTAGCCCCTGCAGACTCGTCGCCCGCTCCACCCTGGGCCATGTGTCGAAATGACCTGGATGGTGTCAGGATAGGGAGCAGACGCAGAACGCTCTGTCGCGCCGCCACGGTCTCGCGAGTCGATTGCCGCCTGCTGCCTGCGCGTGTGTGTACGTTGCAGCATGGCATCCGCGACGGTCGATCGGAGCAGAGCATCGACGTCCGGGCAGGCACGGCGTTGCGGGTGCGCAAGTGTTGTGTGGATGCGTGCGTCGCTGTGAGCGCATTGTGAGGCTGAGGGTGGTGCTTCAAAGCAAATGCGTATGCTCTGCTGGACAACATGCCTGGCGCAGATGTGGGCAGCGCGGGCATGTATGTATGCTGATGATGGATGCTGCCGAGCGTTGGACTGCGATGGGGGCGGAATGCGCTGAGACTGAATGCGGTACAGGCGAGTGCGGCGAGTGCGGCGCGTGCGCGAACCTCGCAAGGTGAGCTTACCCGGTCAGCGTCGTCCCTCGAATCAGCAAGCGCGGCAGTCGCTATAGCGATGACGACGAGTCGTGGCGGGGTGCTGCAACGACGTTATCCTGCAGAGGAGCGCGGCGCGGCGCGGGAGAGGGCGATTCGGATCGATGATCCTCAAAAGGCTTGGATGGATGGAGGGTCAGTGGTGCGCTTCGCGGGTAGTGATCATGTTCAAGAGGCCTCCCTCGCTGCATGCTGCTCCGTCAAACGACGGCAATCGTGAATCGTGAATCGTGAATGCGAATCAATCGTCGACCACCGCGCGTCACACAGATCTTCCAAAGCTCGCGTAGCCCGCGCACGCGCGCGGGCATGACCGATGAGGTGCCTGAGAGCGGAATCGCCGTGCTGTGCTGTGCTGTGCTGCTCGCGTGAATCGTGCCTCCGTGAGTTGCGAGTGATTGCAGCACGCGACGGTGCAGCAGCAGCAGCAGCAAGCACCGGCGGCGCAACTCGGCCGACAAACTACGCAATCGCCGGCATGCTTTGCGCGATCCGCGTGAGGAGATGTCACGACGTCACGACGTCACGCGCTTGACATTCGAACGGGTGCAAATCGTGAATTGCGTACATGCAGCGAAACGTGCCGCTCAACGAGCCGCTCAACGAGCCGCTCTCAAATGCGACTTTCGCCCAGGCGCGTCAACTCGACGACCGGAGCAAAGTTGGCCCTGACAACGTTGCCAATGCGTTCAGAGATGACGCTGCCTTCGTCTCTTCTGTCCTTGCCCTCACGTCTGAACGCGCTCAATCGCTCCAGGAAACTGACCAGCGGGCCTGTATTGGTCACGCGGCCCTCCGCATCGTACGTTGGCACGTACGCTGGGTTCAGAGCGACCAGAGGCACCGGCTTGGGTCCGTCCGACTTGCGTCTGACGATGAATCCCAGCTCTTGGAAGCGCACCATGGCTGCTGACAGCGTAGCCAGATTGATGGCCTGGAAAATCACGAATGCAACGCACGCGTGAGCAGAGCCTCAGGACCAGGCGGTGTGCACTTGCGCTCACCTCGAGGTAGGAGATTTCGCCTCCTGCATACAGCGTCTTGCCGAACAACTGTTGGGGGGTGTTCCCAAGTCAGAAGGGTACACCGGTACACCGAGCGCCGCGCGTCTGCGCTGCTCACCTGTGCACGCTTCTCAAACTCCTTGGCCGCGAACCAAGACTGGACCGACCCGGGCGCCTGGCCCTTCGGAGGCGGCGGGGCGAGCAGCAGCAGGGAGCATGCAGAGAGCCAGTAGGCTTCGATGAGAGGAAAGACGAGAAACACTGGGTGGGTTTCGAGGGCGAAAGGGCGCGTTTCGAAAGCGTGAGAAGCAGCGCATGTCGCATTCGCAACTTTTGCACTCACGATAACTATCAAAGTTGCTTCGTCCGACACGTCTCTCGCGTGTGCTCAAGCCTACGCGGTTCTGCTCGTCAAACGCGAGCACATCGTCGGCAACGAGCTGGTCGACCGTTGCCCGCACATTGTTCTCGAGCTTGTCTGCAGAGTTAAAGACGAATTCTTCCCGCAGTACGTGCGAGATGAATCCCGCTTCGGCTACCAGCGCTTCCCTCTTCATGAATTGGTTCGGCGTTTCTCCTCCTTGCTTGACACGAGTGTAGAGCGCGGAGCACAGGAGCGCCTCGGATACGAATACGTGCATGACCTGAGGACGCAAGGTGCTCAGCGAGAGAGAGACACTTTATGGCGGCGCGCGCGCCTGCTCACCTGATTGCGGAAGAAGGAAAGCTCGAAGCGCTTGACTGGCACGTACGTCGGCTCCATCACGTCCGTCTCGATCTCCACCAGCCCCTTCATGACACCAGTGATGGCGCGATCGACGACTTCTGCCGTCGAGAGGCTGCCGCTGCGAATCCAAACAGGAACCTCGTCAGCCTTGCGTGTACACGGGCGCCCGTATATCCCACACCACGCACAAGTCTGCCACCTGGTAGCCCTTGCCTCGGATGATGCCTGCCAGCCATTCGACGCGCTTGATGAGATCGCTCCTACCGATGCCGCGCCCTCGAAGAATCAAGAGAATGGTACCGCAGAGCGCAGCTGGCATGATGATGCTGGCATTGTTGACATCGTTCAAGATCCTATAGCCAAGCGCCTTGAGAAGCAGAATCTTGTGCTCGTCATTGTTGAACAGATCCAGCTCCATCTTGGACTTGTGATCAGGGGTGGGTGCTTCGCGTCGCAGCTTCTGCTCGTTGATGAAGCCCTTGAGCGACCACGGGGTTTGGAAGCGCACATCGATGCGCCCCAACTTGAGCTGCAATACGGAGCTAGAGGAGCCCAGCAAACCAAATAGCGACTCTGCTTCTTTTGGCTTGCCCAGAAGCTCGTCCGCGTACGTCGAACTTTCGATGACACTGTCGTACTGGACGCTGACTGGCGCGATGAAAACGTCTTCCGTGCGCTCATTCAGCAGGGCTTCGACGACGTATTTGAGGATGCCGAGCTTTGGAGGGAGTCTAGTATGCGCGGCAAGCGTTAGCCAAACGTCACGCGACCATCTTGTGTCATGGCGCGCGCGCGCTCACCGTTTACCGGTTCGACTCCTCGTTCCCTCGATGAAGCACTCGATGTTCTTTCCGGCTGCCAACAGCTGCTCCACGTACTCCTTGATCACAATCTAGGTGGCGTGGGGGGGGGGGGGGGGGGGGGGCAAGATGAGTCGTCCGCGTGAGCTCCACATCGCGTGTCTACGCACAGGGTAGAGCTGATCGCCAGCAAAGGTGCGCCGAATGAAAAAGGCTCCTCCGCGCTTGAGGACATTGCCGAGCACCGGCAGATCCAGATTCTCTCCAGCCACAATGTGCGGTACAGCGATTCCAAGTCGGAACATGAGCCACGAGAGGGTCAAGTAGTCTGTTTTGGGGGGGCGGAAAGGTCAAGCGAGGAGCTTGCGGCGCGGTATCACGAAACGACTCACCAATGTGCGAGGAATGAGAAGGTGCAAAGAGCAGACTGATCTTGCGCTCCGCGCAGTAAGATGCGACACGGCGGAGCTCGAGCACCTGGGCGACGGAAATGTGAATGCCTGCGGGAATTGCCGCGATGGATCGGATCGGATCGGATCGGATTCGTTTTGTTTATCGTCGCTCTGCCGAGTCAGTCAACGAGCGATGCTCTGTGACCGCAGCGCAGCGCAGCGCTCACCTTGATGGTACAGCCGAGCCAAGATGGACTCTACGGACCATGCAAAGCCGCGCAGAAACTTGATACTGTGGACGTGTAAAAGATTGTGTTGGTCAAGAGCGAGCGCGCGCGCGCGCGCGCACTTGACTGCTTTGCCCGCCGCTCAGAACGCACCTGTCGAGCCGGGCGACATTGGTCTCGGCGAGTCCACGAGCGACGTCGGTCAGGTTGCGTTCCAGTTCCAGCCTCCGCTTCTCCTTGAAGCGCTGCAGCTCCTTGCGCGCCTCTTCCGTCTTGGGAGGAGGAACGGTAGCAAACAAGGATTCGACCCTGCTCGAGGCGAGCGCATGTATGCGCTCTTGCACTGCGGGGCATGCGAAGAGCGAGAGTGTGAGTGCGGTCGCCACGTGCGCAAAAGGCCAGCACAGCTGCTCACCTTGCTTTGACTGCGCTAGACTCTGCGAGCAGTGAGCGTGAGCAGTCGTGAGTGATCCGCATTCAGAAGCGCCGCATCGCATCACGCCGCATCGCATCACGCCCACGCCGCACCGCATCTCACCTGAACGACTTCCGTGGACTGCGTCGGGTACAGAATCGGCGAACCAATATAGTCGGTGTCTGCGTGGGAGAGCACGGCTGTGTGAGCGTGCACATCTCGAGCGAAGCAACAGCCGTGCGAGCGTGCACATCTCGAGCGAAGCAACA